TCATATGCAATTAAGATGTCTCCATATTTAATAGGTTCTTGATGCTAATCCTCATATGCAATTAAGATGTCTCCATATTTAATAGGTTCTTGATGCTAATCCTCATGTGCAATTAAGATGTCTCCATATTTAATAGGTTCTTGATGCTAATTATTCCAAACTATATCTGAGTATCAAATTTATGTCATTTGTGGTTATTTATACCTAATGTCTAACAAAAAAGATCGATATCTAACCAAAAACAGCATAGTTGGAATAAATGTGCGACCCAAAAATAAAATAAAAAAAGAATTGTAATAGAAAGACGCGAAATCAAAGTTTACGGCCAAAATGAGAAAATATTATGAGTAAAACATTCATAATCCTACAAAATTTGTAGAGTATACATATCTGCTACAAGAAATCACACAAGCCGGTGTCTTTTTTTTTGGCGGTGCTTAGCTAAACACGAAACGGCAGCCCATGTGATTTCTTGTAGTAGATATGCATACTCTACAAATTTTGTAGAATTTTGAATGTTTAGTCACAATGTTTGCATAAAATTGTAATCATAATATTTTCTAATTTTGGCGGCAAACTTTGATTTCGTTCTATCGCTATCAATTTTTTGGGCCGCAACTTTTTTGTTTTTTACAGCTATGTTGTTTTTGATTAGATAAATATTAAACAATTTGCACAGACACAGGTGTCTTTTCGATAATTTGCACAGACACTAGTTTTAAGTGTTAGGTATCTTGCGTAAATATATAACACTTTTTTTCGGTTAATCATTGCAACATAGTTGTCCAAAGTTTCTACCGTGTATGATTAGCTAATAGTTTTAAAGGATACATTGCTGGAAATAATTTAATACCAAAGTTTAAAATTAATGTCTATTGAAAACCGCAATAGTGTATATTTATCGAGTAGTTTCTAGTTTTTAAAAGGAGCTATTGCCTGAAGAATTTGTATTTTTTAATAGTTCGGTGCAAACCACACTCTCTCTCTCCTGTGACCAGTTTTGAAACAGTAATTTTTTTTATTCTCTAGCAATTCCGGTTAAAGATATTAGTTTGTCTTTTATTTTCTTTGAAAGCAAACAGAAACAAAAACAGTGTGAATAACCGAAGCATGAGGTACAGCGTAAGGATCCGGTTTACTAGATTACCCCAGTTGGTTACCTAGTTACAGCGAAGTGGAATTATTGTGTCTATATCGTTATCTTGGAACAAGGAACAACTGTGCCTTATGATTCGATATGACTGAGCATGAAGAGGGGAGAGGGGCAAATAATTCTTACCTTCCCCTTCCCTGAAGTCTCAGCCTACCTTACCCTCAGGTGGGGGACGGACGGTAGCAAGCGGCGCCGTGCTGTCGCCACTCACTACCCCGGGGCCGCGGCAGCTGTGGAGGGGCGGATGCGAACGGAGGGCTCGGCGTTCGGGGAGGGCTCATCGGCTGACAGCTGAGTGTGGCGGCAGCGTCAAGGGTGTATCGTCGGAACGATTTCCTCCATTGGTGTAATGTAGCCACTCAGATGACCATTATGTTTATTGGTGCTTTGTTTTACAGCGCTGTATCCGACACGTTCTGTTCATGACTTCAGCTGTCTTAGTTCTGTTGTTTACTTAAAATGAAGCACAAATTTAATCGTCAGTTGTAGGAAGTGTTCCGAATAGTTGTCGAAATTCACTGAACCATTCGTATGGGCAGTTAATCTCTTTAGCCGAATAACTTTGAAGGAAGAACTCTACAAAGAAAAACAAAACAAAACATTTCATCTAGCATACACGTGATTCCAAAACCTTATATTACAACAATGAGCGTAACGTATGTGATATTTGTTTACGATTTTTACCGATACCATTAAATCGTGAACGTCCAACCTCTGTGAAATCAAGATTAATCATAACACATTACATATTACTAAGTTTATTGAACAACTTACCAAACAAAAGCATCAACTTCAAATTCGAACAATGAACTTCTTGAAGAAGTAAACAAGGCAATTTTGATGCTTGTAAATTTTTCATCATTATCAATGGTTGGTATATGCTTAGCCTGAACTAATAAGGTTAATAACGGGTCTCCCGCTTCATATTTTTATGGGGTTTAACAGTTGTTAAATAATATTTATTTATGTGCCAAAACCGTTAGTTGATCAAAAGTGTTTATTTAAAACTCGAAACGATCAGATGATGGAAAATAATAACATTTTTATTTAGAAGTTGGATATAAAATATTTATTTGGAAGATGGAACGATCGGGTGATAAAGTATATCTGTTCAGAAGATGAACATGAGTGATAGGGGATGTTTCTCTAAAAGATGAAATTATTGGGTGATAGAAAATGCTTATATAGAAAATGAAACTGCCGCGTGATATAGTGTGTTTACTTAAGAAATGGAACTATTGGATGAAAGAGGATGATTTTGTTTTTCTATAAGATAGAGCTGTTGGGTGATGGGGGGGGGGTATTTAGAAGATAGAACTATCGGGTGATAGAGTTTATTTAGAAGATGGAACTATCGGGTAATAGAGTAGTTTATTTAGAAGATGGAATTTAGAAGATGGAATTATTGGGTGATAGAGAGGTTTATTTAAATGGTACTATCGGGTGATAGAAAGGTTTATTTAGAAGATGTAACTATCGGGTGATAGAAAGATTTAGATAGAACTACTAGGTGATAGATTAGTTTATTTAGATGGAACTATCGGGTGATAGAGTTGTTTATTTAGATGGAACTATCGGGTGATAGAGAGGTTTATTTGGATAGAACTACTAGGTGATAGATTAGTTTATTTAGATGGAACTATTGGGTAATACACACATCATTTATTTACATGTCGGATCTGACAATTACTCGATACTATTTGCTTAGAAACTGAACCTATAATAATAATAAGCAACACTCTCTCTATATACGGAATGTTCGCTTATCAGCTGATGGAAAATAAAACATCGTTGAAAAGACCGATCTTTTTGTATATTTAGCAGTTAAACAGTCATCATTAACAATATATCAATTGCCGAAAATTTATTGTCGAAATGTCTGTTTATTATTATGTTTGAAACAATCACCGCAGCCTCGTTTCTTTACTAATTATATTATTATATTTGTCAGTTAATAAGTTTGATAAGTATTGATATGGTGTGTGTTGTGAATAGGCATGTAGGAATGCTATATCAAATTTTCTAAGTTATTTTAGAGACACGTCTATAGTAAATGGGTCTGGAAAAGGATCTATAGAGATATTGCTACTGGTGACAATGTTAAAGAATACTTAAGACCTGACATTGGGGAATGCTTATCTTAGAAGTAAGAGTTTGTTTTGATAGACATTGGCTTTGGAATGTGATTTGAAAGTTGTTAACATATAGAATGCCTGTTTATGCATAAGGTTTGTCAGTTTATGAATGACACTTTTTGGAAGATGGTCATATCCATGTTTGTGATTTTGTTTTGCAACTAGGAGAATTGGGTTTTCTTGCATATATATACTCAGTATATATTGTTTTTGTATTTGTTGGAGGAAGAAAAAAAAATACGATTTGTAACCATTGGACTGTTAAAGAGTCAGTAACAGGAACGAAATGACCAGACATTGTTCGAATATCGTTAGCCATAATCTTTACTTCAATATATTATTGCGAGAACAAAATGACCAGAGAAGATTAACATATCTCCAGCCTCAATCTTTACTCCAAAGTACCTTAGAAAGAACAAAATGACCAAAGAAGATTAGAATATCTCCAGCCTTAATCTTTACTTCAAAGTACCTATAGAAAGAACAAAATGACCAAAAAAAGATTTGAATACAGTCAGCTGGAATCTTTACTTCAAAGTACTATAGCGTGAAAAAATGATCAAAGTCAATTCCAATGCCACCAGTCTAAATCTTCACTCCAATGCACATGCATTTAATGGCATATGATTTAATAGAAAGATTTTATTCAGAATGTAAATAACTAGCTTTAAACACCAGGGTTTGGTTATCAAGCATCTGTTCTAATCAAAGAAGCTAATATGGTCGGAATGGCACCGTATTTTTTTTTTTCATTTTCTACCTTCTAGTAATTTTAGGAGTTGAGTATCGACTGTGTTGTTATAATAAACAG